CTCCTAATTTCCAACTTTTTCTTATTCCTTTCTCTCTCTCCATCAGGATATAATACAAAGCCTCACAAATTGGTAATTTTTTTTTATCTCACACTCATGATTATGCATATAATCAATAGAAAGTATTACCTAGTACCTTCTAAAACCACCTGGCCCCAAATAGCAGTCCCTCAATTAAGTGCCTTTTGATCTGATCTCCTCAGTCTTTTTGTTGGCTTCTCAAAGGGTCTTTATGCATTAAAAAGCAAAAGATCTGTATTGTTTTTGTGAATATCATTTTATTATCTATATGTAAACTATGTATTTTTAGAGAAAAGTCAGTTACTACTTAAATAAAGGAAACTAAGTGCTACCTAAGGCAGAGCTAAGGCTTTGAAAGTTAAAAGCTTTGCACATTTTAATTTAATTGCTTCTTTATTATGTAAATGCATTGTACTTTTACTTAACAGAAATAACCTAAGGTTTATAGGGGATAAAGTGAGGTAGAGAAATGGAAATAAAGGTTCAATATTTTTGATGTTCCTATTTCTCAGGAGGCTTTGCACTTTACTTTTTTTTTTAATTTCCAAAAAATTTGTTCCTCTAGTAGGTCAGAAATATTTTTGATATGGTCTTAGCTTTTAACAGCTCTATATTTCACATACTCTGAAAGCAAATAAGACACTGTTCAGAGCTCTACTGGCCCAGTAACTATCATCATGGAGTGTACTTGCAATTGTGGCTCTACATTTAGAGAAGGTAGCGATCCTTCCCTGTCCCTTGGATGGCACCCAACAGTGGTTTCCTCCCTTATGTCCTGTCTGATTCAAAAACCCTTCTCCTCACCCACAAAACTTCTCAGTCACCACTCTTATGGTGATGGTGAGGTTTATAAGTCTGGGAATGTTTTACAATTAAAAAGAGAGAAATTTTAGTCCAATATTGTACCCATTTGAGGAATCTCTTCCATAAAAATCTCTCAGGATGAATTGTGTATCATGGAACTATCCATGTATCAGTGAGCTCAAGACTTACAAGGTGAACGATAAAATAATGATATCAGTGCTTTCTGAGCAATTACTGTATTGGAAGGTAAGAGGCTAATTACTCTATGAAAAAATTGTTATTATTAACCTTAGAGATGAGGAACACTGACTTCTCCCACATGGTTAGATGGTAGGGAAGCTAGACTCCAATCTGGGCACTCGAAATCAAAGCCCCTGAACATGTTTGGCTACTGAGCCCAAATCTGTAAATTTCTACCAAATTAGTTTAAATTCTACCCTTTGGTTCAACCAGACAAGTTCATCCCTCCTCCCTAGTTACTTATGCTATAAAAAGAGTGTTAACTGAGAGCCTCCCAAATGTCAGATATTGTCCTGTTGGTCACACAGTAGAGAACGAACAAAGTTTGTTTCCATGGTGTTATCATTCTATTTCCCTTCAATTGAGAACAATCACTGGATTTCTAAGAGGTATCCTTCCTTCAGATGAAATTTTCCTACTATTTTCCTACAAAGTTTGAAATTTTAATCAATTTTGGTAGTCATTTCAGTTATAACATTTCAGTTAGGTAATTACCTCACATAAACTTAGTCACTCACATGCTTTTTGATGGGCCTGTTTTAACAAGACAACAGATCTAAAGTGGAGTTACTTATGCTAAGTAAGCTCCCCCATATCAATACTTAATATAGTTTCAGCTCTTCCAGAAATGGAATCTTAAAACTAGTCATCAGAAATTTCCTCACCAGTATTAGTCATAAGGCACCTGGTGAAGCCCCTGCCACGCCCCAGAGGAAAGCAACTTTGCAATAACCAACATACTTCCTTTGTGTAGAATTTTTTCCTTATTCCCACGTCCTTCTGCCTCTCAAAGTCTTTCATTTTCTATAGATCCTCAGAGCTCCTTTCTGTCAGCTAGACTGGATGTTGCTCTATTCAAATTGATTTTTGCTTAAATAAACTCTTACATTTTAAAATATGCCTCAGTTTATTTTTTCACCATTTTGGTTTCAGAAGAGGGATCAGAGGAAATTCCCATAGCGGTCTCCCAGGAGCAATGAGCAACTAGATGTAGGTATCTGTTGAGTCCCTTGAACTCACTTTCTTGCTACCTCTGGAGCTAAGTTCCTCTCAGATCCTAACTCCACAGCTTTTTCATTATGAGTGTTTATACTCTGAGCATTCTGTTTTCTGGACAGTCTGGAAATTGGCCAGAGTTGGACTGAGTTTGGCTTAGAAATCAGACCCTGTCTGACTTAAGTTGGACAGGATCCAGCGGAAGGCTAAGTAAAATCTTGTTTTAAGATTGAACAAGCAGGTCAAACTTATCAAAGGTAATCCTGAATTTTACTGGTCATCATGGAGCACTTTCAACTGAAATAAACTTAACCACTATATGATGCTTTACAAAAAAAAGAGGGTCCCAACCAAGACCTAAAGAGTCACAATTCAAAGATCTAATTCTCAAAAATGTTTTTTTTTTCCCCCTGCCAATTTGGATTTGGAAAGGATGGGACAAAGTAAAATTTTACTTTTACCTCTAAAATTTCTGGTATCAGAATAAGACACTGAGAGTCTCCACCCACTCCAGACCTGCAGATGTGATCCTGGGAAAAATGGTGGAAGCTGGCAAAGGTTAAGAATTCTCACCAAAGTCAGCTTTCTCATTTCTATTTTTGGTGACCGAATGAGAGAGGAAAGTAAAATTTCACTTTGTCCCATCCTTTAAAAAAAAAAAATTGAGAATTAGATCTTTGAATTGCACTCATGAATTTGCTTTTGGGCATCTATTAGTTGTCAATCCTTTCTCTTCCTTGGAGTGCTATTGCCTTATTTGGTTCATTTTATGTTTTGACAACCTAGCCTGACAACAGTCAGATTTGGGGTCCCCAAAATATGGCTAGGCAGAAATGTAGGTTGGTTCAGTATTTCTTTTAATAGGTGAGATCTTGAGAGCGGAGAATTAAGTACTGTTTTTGTCTATAATGTTCACACATTTTCCTTTCAGACCTGCAAAATGGTCAAATACAAATTACAATTTCTAACATTCATTGTTTAAATAATACTTATCCTGCAAAGCTCTTTAATTTAGAGGTGCCCTTCAAGAGTCCTCTAGAATCCCAGACAAGATGCTGGAAGCCATCTTGCATCCATAACTTTTGTTATCTAGGTACAGGTGAGCTGTCAGGCTCTATGAGACTGGCACTTGGCATTCCACAGCACCCTCTAGTGGTCAGATTTAAACCTCAAGGTTCAGACATTATGACTATCACAAGAAATTAACCACAGGGTGTCAGACAACTGTGGCACAAATTTTGATTGGTTATTTTTGGTTAAACTTGGTTACCTATTCCATCACTAAATATCAGAGAATCTGATATGTCTCAGGCTTTTAGCCACTTCCCATCTTTCCATTCTAGCTTGGTTCTTCACATGAACTTAGAATTCAAATTGTTTCCTATTTTTTTTAACTGATTACAGATACTTTATTTCTCTTGAGGTTCCTCCCTATTTCTATTCTGTTTGCTGACCCTGCATAACAACATAAAGGCCTTTTTGTAAAGTTTCTATGGAAGAAATAGCAAAGGAATAATTTACCTCAGGCAATTGTTTTTTTTTTTTTTTAAAGATTTATTTATTTATTCATATGGAACTGTGGTACAGGCCAGAGATGTGGAGGGTGAGAGGATTCACCAGAGACAGAGAGGGGAGCAGAACAGGCAGATCGACGAAGTACACTGCTGAGGGGAGCAGCAGGCGGGTCAGGAGAGGTCTGCCACGCCATGTGGATCTCCTCCAGGGCAGGCGGGAATCGAACTCATGCGGAAGTGGCTTTAGCTTCTTAGTGCTGTGCTTTAACCTGCTGTGCCAGGGCTAGGGAGGTTAATATAGCTTGATATACTTTAAATATTTAAGCTTTCTGGTGCATTTTTATGGGCCATGGCAATTGTGTTTTAAAGGAAAAAGTGTTAGAGTCAGCTGTGCTATCTAACTAACACTGCTGCTTTATTTGCTAGTGATATTACATAACTTAACTTTCCTAAGTTTACTTCTAAGATAAGCAAAGAGAACTACACAGAGTTCTTATAATCAGTTCATCTGGTCTGATGATCAACTCTCATGGGATGGTTTGGTGGTAAGAGAGACAATTCTGTAAGTTATTTCAGAATTAAGCTTTCTTTCCTCTGGTTATTTCAGTGCAAACAGGTCAGGCCAGATGAAGTAGATCTCCAAGGCAAGCCCAGATAAGTCCTTCTGGCTACCAAGAAAAGTGAAGAGCTCTATACTATTGCTACTCATTTCAGTAAAAACTATAAGCTGCCTTTGAGTGTGTGTGGGCTGGGAGTGGGGGTTGGGGGGAGGGAGGCAGTGGTAAGGGAGTTGGGATAAATGGTAAATACAGAGTGTATTCCAAAACATGGCTGTGGAAATGTCAATGTTTTTGATGGAGAGCTTCTTTGAGATCATGACTTAAATTTACATTCTCAGATACAGAAAATCCTAGGACTAAACTCTGTTCCACCGTAGATAGGCAGCTTTGTATGCAGACTCTCCTAGGCACAAAGGGGCCTTAATTACAACCCAAGAAAATCTAAAGGGATCACTTGAGTCTGTGAAAAGTGAGGACTAACATGTTTTTGGATTGAAAGATTCCTAACTAAACACTATCGAGTCCTCTATAGGATTACATGTATTCAGGATAATGCATGCCTATGTCCTGTCATTCAATATCTGCAACCACATTTCCTAAGATACAGTGTTCAGAACATGGAGAAAATGGGGAAGGAAAAAGGATCATGAAAGAAATGGTGTCTGAAGTTACACAATTGTTCTACTGTATTTTGTAAAACTTAAGTCATTTTAGCTTTGTCCCAATTCCCTCTCCATCATATAGCCAAATATGCCTCAAAGGAAAAAGCATATAGGAAAAATGGGACATATTTAGATGCATTTTATTTAATAATCATGCAGTCAAGGCATCATGGTGACCTTATGGGATTTCAGAATTCTGGTTCTCAGCAAGGCCCAGATTTTTGAATGAGGACAGGAATCTGGCGCTTCCTGCAGAACAGATTGAAAAAAAAAAATCAATTTAAACCTTGTGATAAAAAGGTGACTATTGGTGAACAATGAAAAAAAGATGATCTTTATTTAAAATAGAGATGGTTGAGATTTCCCCCCCTATTTCTCCATCATTCACTGTTCATTCATTTATTCACTATTCTGCCAAATACTGAGAACTATTATACTAGTACAACAGAAAGTAAAAGTGTGTGTCTTTCTAGGTTTATAGTTCTAATGGGGCATTTATGTAAACTGTCACCTCTGACACTAATCTCTGGATCCATGGCTGCTTCTTTTGCCTGATGTCACTACCCTAGCTACCAGGTTCCCATCTTAGCTGATGCATGGGCTACAGCAGGACTTTTTAACTGAATGATCCTTAGCATTATAATTCTGGGGATTTTAGAGCAACAAGATCTGGAAAAAGGAAATTACATCTCTATCTCCTATAAAAAGGAAATTATGTATCTATCTAAGCATCTTCCCTTTCAGGAAAAAACCTACTGCTCCCCCTCACATCATTTCCCAAACCATTTTTCTCTTCTCTCAGCTAAATATTCCTAAATCTTATAATTGTTCCTCATGAAACTGTCTCCAGATTTCTCATTTTTCTAACCATTCTTTCCTTCAATATACTGCTTATAAAAATTCTTCAATAACTCTACATGAGGACATCTGACTCCCCAATATCTTTAACCTGATACCTTGCTGATTCTTCATTTTATGTTTTTAATATTTTTTTTGTTCTATAACTACTCATGGTATTTATTTTCCTGAGTCAGTATATATAAGCACAAACATCTAAACAGACTACAACGAGGATTTAATTTTCTAAAGTTTGCTATCAAATATTGTGGACACATACATAGCTCCTTAAATTTAAATCAGTTAAATCAATACTAAAAATTCAGTTTTTCAGTTAGACTAGCAACATCTTAATTGCTAATGGATAGTATACTGAGGCTAGTGGCTTCCATATTGAACAGCACAGATACAGAACATTTCTACCACTGCAGAAAGTTCTACTAGAGTGCCGATTTACAGAAAAGAACGTGCCAGCATAGATTTTCCAACAGGACACAGAAGCAGTAGAAAAATGTCCTTAGTGAATTTATTTGCTAAGTGAGATGAAAGCTCTTGTTTGTCTATCCATCTCAAAACTCAACAACTAGGATCAGAGCCTGACAAACTTAGCAAGGTATTGTTTGGGGCTTTCACTAGGCAACAGAGAAAAAGGCAATAGGGAACATTAGAAAATACACTGCATGGGCGCTCCCTGGTGGTGCAGCTGGTTAAAGTAGAGCACTGCAAGCTAGCCTCAGCCATTTCAGTGCAAGTTTGATCCTCACCCCAGAGGAGATCCACATGGCACAGCAGACCTCTCTGTCTCGCCCACTGCTCCCCTCAGCAGTGTACTTTGTCAATCTGCCTGTTCTGCCCCCTACTCTTTTTCTGGTGAATCTTCTCACCACCCCTGTACCTCTTGCCTACCCCAGTTCTGTATGCATAAATAAATAAATCTTTAAAAAGAAAGAAACCTAATTAAAAAAAATTGTTGCATATGGAGCGTCACATTTTGCTTCTAGGCCTGTATTTTTTTTTTTCTGAAAAATACAGGAAGAGAAGCTTTTATTTGTATTAAAATGTTTCCGTATTTACACTTAAAAAAATAATAAAAAGGGCAACCAGGAACTGGTAGTTATCAAAAGATAAGGAAATAGTGTGTTCCAGTTCTTATGCTCATATTACCACTCTAAACATTAGGCCTTTTGGTCTCGGCACTTGGAAATTTCCCAAGAATCAAGGATATTCTACTGCCTTCTCCTCCCCTTGGATGGAAATAAGATGTTTGACCTTAACATAGGTCATGAGAAAATAAACAAATGGTCTAAAGTCCCTTTTACAAGTCGTTAGTGTGGAAATAAATTTGTCATAAAGCAGTACACCTAATATTTTGGATCTAAAACCAGAATATTAGACCTTTTGCCCTGGGGAACTATTTCCTCAATCCTTTGTAATCTCTGAGAATTTGCTAACCGGATTTAAAGTAGTTCAAGAAGATAGTTTATGTTATAGGAAGTTTAAACAATGGAGTATGGAAATTTATAGTCATTTGAATCTAAAGTAAAGTCTTCAATATCAGTCAGTTCCAGAATGACAGAGTTTGCCAAGTTATTTGTGGAATCTCTTTGCTTTTACTCATTTTACATGTTTATTTAACCTGAAATGATTTTTATGATATGACCAAAAGTCAGAGTCCTGTCTAAATGTCATCCTTTCAATAAATCCTTCTTGACCCATTTCAATAAGAGTAGCTGTTTCTGTTTTTGCTCCTGTAGCACTCTGCTCATACCTCCAATGATGGCATTTATCACAAGTTACAAGAAGCTATCTTATTTGTGTCCATGACCTGTTTTTTCTTAGTCCTAAATTCAAGGAAAGCAGAGGATACTAGCATATGTTGAGTGCTTAGAAATCTATTGCTTTGAATACCAGAGTCTGATTCCCATCACCTTCATACAGCTTTATCAACAACGAACATCACTGAGGCTGGCTCTCATTTTCATGAGTAACAGTGTTAGACAATAATTTTTTTTGTCACCTATTCATAGCTGGATTTGAAGGATTTAATAAACACAATTATCATCCCCAAGAATTTTTATTTTTAATTTTAAGGGCATTTTACATGTATAGCTTTTTTTTTTTTTTTAAAGATACAGACCATCTGCTGTATTTCTGTAAAAGCATGAATTTTTATCATGCAAATGATTTTTTTTTTAGTTGAGAGAACAATTCTAAACCTTCTCTCCTTATTCCTTATTTTCCTTCCTTTAGCATATTTACATTGTGTGATGTTATTAAAGATTTCCCCCCATTCAAATGCTTAACTTTTCTACTTTCTGGCCTGGCAAATTCTCCAAACTTTTGCAAATCTTAGGAGGCATAATATTCTGTTTTTAATTGTGTGTTCTCAGAGGACTTCACTCATATTTCCAAAGATTACACTGAGTATGACCAAACTGAACAAAAAACATGCTGGATTTTCCTCTGTAATTCACAAATACTTAGTGTGGTACCTTAAAGCACAGAACAAAGAGCAGGGAATTTGATCCCAGTTTGGCCAATTATTCCTGGGTAATCTTGAGCAAGTTATTTAAACTAATCAGTCTCAATTTCTTCTGGTATATGATGACTGTAGTATAATTTACATCAGAGATTCGTGTATAAATTGTCTTATACAATGCTTGACACAATCAATATTTTTCTACTATTCTATACATACAATTTTTGCATATAATCATATTGAATCTATAATAAGAAAAAAAATTTTTAAGTAGGTATTTTTTTTTCCTATGCAAGATTCATGTTACTAGCATAATGACTAGAGCTTTAGGGAGATAAGATATACAAAAATTTGAAGACAACTAGCATAAAACACACATGTTAATAGAAATTCAAGTTTATACTTACTCATTTTCACGGCATAAAATGCACTCGTTGGAGTAAGTATTTCCATCAGTCCCACAAACAGGGTTATAGATCCTGGGACATCCATTAATTTCACTGCTACATTTTGCCTAAAAGTGAATTAGACACAATGATTTGCCATCTTTTTTTTTTTTTTTTAGTTTATAATAAATTCTTTAAAATGGTTTTTACCTCCCTGGAGTTGGTCTGCTTAAAGACAGGAGTATGATTAAAATTGGGAGAAGAATTTCCAAGAGAAATTCTCAAATCCAAAAGAAAGAATTCTAAGAGAAAGAACTCAAAACTTAGAGTCAAAAAGTGAAAACCAGCTTTAAGTAAGTTTCTGCTCTTCACAAAGTATCTGCCACTGGTAAACCTGACATTCCTGAACCTCAGTAGTAACTTCATCTGCAACATGGGAACACTATCCCCACCCCACTTATCTAACAGGGGTGTTTAAGTAAGAAAAACGAGAGTAGGCTCATGTTCAAATTATTGCAGGTGCTGCCTCCTCCTGGGTTAGTCACACCTCGGGGCCATGCTCCTCCTTGCACACCAGTCAGAGTGCACGGGTTGTCTCTCAGTTACCTAAGGCACCAGGTGCTTGGTGTCTTTGCACAGCTTATTTCTTTTATGGAAGTAAAAACAACATGGAAATTTTTATGGAAGCATTTTGTATATATTATTCAACTTAAACTTTACCATTATCTCATGAATTTTTTAATCGTCTAATGAAGATGATGAGAAGTCAAATCACCCAAGCCACACATTAATTCCTGTATGTCGAGTGCAAAATCAATCAATGAAGTTCTTGAGCTGCAGCTTGGAACTACTCACGCTACATGTCTCTATCAGTTATACTTTGTGAACCCTCATTTATCCTTCATGACTCAGAATAAATTTCATGTATTTAAAAGCACTGTCTCTGATCTAACTAGGATAGATTCCCAAAGGTCCTAGCATTTTTTATACAACACTTATCAAATGTAGTAACTTATTCTCGCATACACTTTTGGTGTGTCATCTGCTTCCCCACTAGATAAATGTAATAAGAGAGGCGCTTCTTTCTATGGTCTCCAAGTTTTATGAGATTTCCTTTAAAACATGGAAAAGTTAGATTTAGAATATTTTTCTAAAGTTAGAAACCAGCTTATTTTTTTTCTTTTGCTCATTTAAATTCCACTCCACCTAGGTCACTGGGAGAGATTGCTGTCAACCTGATCAAACTGGCTATAAGGAGGAAGGGTTACTTGGAATGGAGTTAAGAAAGCTTCTATCAAAAATACCTGTTCTACAAAATGGCCCTTCATAGCAAGCTTGATAAGATCACAGAGAAATTATCTGTACGTCAGTATATTTTTCCTTCAACATAAGTCATATGGGAGAACTCCTATAGTATCTCCATTTAATAAACCAAGACTCACTAGCAATCATGCTCCTCATTTGTGTTTTAGGATTTACTGAACAGTAAGATTGTATTTTGTATTTTGGGATTTACTGCACTGTGGTTAGAACAAGCAATTCCAGCCTGATAAGAATTTACAAAATTGTTTTTACCTCTCTTTTCAGGGAGTCAGCTCCAGTGTTACCTACAAAACATAAATCAGACATGTTAAATAGGCTCTGAAATGAGAGAAGTCAGACTATTCTTATTCAGAATTTCTATTTCCTCCTAAAGTCTATGACTTTTCTGTTGGTTGCTTACACTCCCATTCCTTGCCATTTTCACTCTCTCTGAAGGGCGTCTCACTAGTGTTTACTCAATCCTGCCTGCTAGAACCTTGAAAAAATGAAGCAAAAATCTATGATTATGACCAAACTATCTCAATTTTGAATTTCAGAAAGGTTGACCCATTTCCTTGAAAACAGAAATGTCATACACACACACACACACACTTATTGCTTGAAATCTATCAAGCACTGAACAAGTATCTTTTGGATGTTCACTGACATTCTTACCATCAGTTTTGACCTTTGCTCTCAACAGTGATATAATGTGTAAAAGTAAATTTATAGTAAATATATATATACAGATCTTATATATTACCTGGGCAAAAGCTACCCCTAGTAATAAGCAGATGTTCTGTCACAAAGATAACTTTTGCAATTACATTTACGGCTCCCTTGTACGTAATGTTAAAAATGGACTTCTTACAACTCACCATCAATTCTCAAAGAACTCTTTCCTACAGTTAACATTACATGGACTGTAATGTTCATACTTACTGAACTTACATATCAATTCATACTTAATGAACTTACATCTAGCTACTTAAAATTGCTGTGCTGATTTCTCTAGCAAGTTGCACATTATGTATGGGATAGTAACTGCAGAAATGCTCATTAAAGGGAAAGGAAATGATCCAATGGCAATTGAAAGAAGACATGCCGGTGAGACTTGATTCTGATCTTAATGTATTTTGAGGTGATCCAGGTTAGGAAGTAGTTATTCTTAACTAGATGCTATGAAAATAGTGAGGCACCTTTGGGCTTGGAGAACTCCCTAGAACAGTCAAAAACAAATACAGCTGGTGTCTCCTTAGATTTGAAAATTTAGTTGAGTCTGCAAACTGATGAGTCGTATGTCACCGCAGGCATCTATCTGTATTAATACACACGAGGAGGGGAAAAGGGACCACAGCATCAATAAGTATATATATTTAGCAACTACAACAGACTATTTTTCTTCTTCACAAAATGCTTATTTGCCTTTCGGTAGGTTTTTCTGATAGATCTGAGGTGCAGCCAAAAATGTTAACTATTTCCAATGACATCAAGGGAGCATATTCCAATTCTATGGTCTCAAAATTGTCTGGAACATGGAAAGACAGTTTGGACTATAGTCATACCATTTATTCAAGCAGAATATTTTCCCTGTAAACATTCTGCAGCTCAAAAATAATTTTCAATAGGTAAAACTCTGTCTTTAATACTAACGAGAAGTCATTATTATATATTTCATATGACTCTGAAATTTTAATAATTGTAAACTGACCTTAAATATTTAGAGTAAAAAAAATATTTAAGATGGAAATAACTCTGTCTCTTCTTTACCATATCCCACACAAAAGCTCAGCCTCTCACTAGGGCAAAAATCACTCTTTCACTGAATAGTTCTCACTAGTAGAATCAGTTTCCCTGTGTTATGTTAACATCCCTCTTTCTATGCTTCTCATCCACTGATCTTACCTCATCTTACTTGGACCAAAAGATCTATCCAAGACTAGCTAGACTAAGTCTAGAAAGTAATGTGCTCAGCAAAGCATCAGCACGCAAAAGTTTTATTCAAATTAGAAAAATATGCAAAGACACCTACCTGATGAAGTCAACAGAGCCAAGGCACTAAGAAGAAAGAGTCCTGTTATCTTCATGGCTGAAGTTCTGAGAGCAGAGCTCACTTGAAAACTGCAATGAACTCACCACTTCACTTCAAAACTGGGGCTGCAACGGTCATATAGATGGGTGACCACGCAGGCTCCGCCTGCTGCCAGAGTCCCTATCGCCTGGGTTATTGATTGACTCCGCATGATCTGGCCTTGGGGTTGGGGGATGTTACCTGTGTAAAAGGCAAAAGAAATACCACAGCTTGACATACACAAGGCAAGGCATAAGTCAGGAAAGAATTCTGCTGTGTGGTTAGCTGTCTCTCTAACTTTCCCTGTGATAATCAGAACGTTCTTTTCTCCACTGCTTTAACAGTTTTGTCCCATGTGCCATCACCTCAAAGGTCCCTTTATTCTTAGTGCTAGCTATACCAGCAGTCTGAATAGCTTAAATTAAATCATTCTTCCTTTCCTTCATTTTTTACCTTTTTTATTCTTTCCTTTACTGTCAATTTTTAAAAAATATTTATTTGTTTATACATACAAAACTGGGGTACCAATCAGAAGTGTGCGGGGGCTGAGAGGATTCACCAGAGACAGAGTGGGAAGCAGAACAGGAGGACTGACTGAAATATACTGCTGAGGGGAGCAGTGGGCGGGTCAGGAGAGGTCTGCCGTGCCATGTGGGCCACCTCCCTGGCCTGGGATGGAACTCATGCTGCAGTGGCTGTGATAGCCTCACAGCACTGCACCTCCTTTTCTGTCACTTTCACATAGCTTACAGCAGCTAACACAGGTTGGTGTTGAGGAGGGCGCAGTTCCCAAAGGTGTTAGTTTTGAGTTTGCTCATTCGAGGTACTTTTATTTCTATGTTGATGAGCAGTTAATTCACTTCTGCGGTGCCTCAGTTTATCCAAATGTTCAAATAGCCGCAGCACATCTCAGGGAGCCCAAAGCAGAGGCGCGCGGCAGCAGCACATGCACAGTGAGCTCAGGCACACCTGCCTCTACCAACGGGCTGCTCTCCAAGCCTGCCTCGCCGGCACTACTGCCCCTGCGGGAATCTGCCTCTTAGGTGTCTCTCAACAGTCACATTCCCCAGTAGTGGCCAAGAGAGGAAGACTAAGCGTGCCCTGAGATTTCGCTTTGATATAACAGGTACCTGTGGTTACCAGAGGGCTGGTCCTTCACAGCTCAGACCTGCGCTTCAGCATTCCGCCCCAGTATTCTGCGTATCCCTCCGCGGCCGGACTCAAAGAAGTCCGAGAGAGCCCGGATGCGGAGTCCCGCAGGCCCGCGCCTGCGCAATTCACTCCCGCCCAGCTGGAGCTGTGCTATGTGGCGTGCTGCGTGGGGTGTCTCTTGGACATCATCCTGGGGCCTGTGGTTTTTCGAAAGTTGTCATTGATGAGGAAAATGTCATGGATGAGCACAGTGGTTTGAATGGCGGTTGCCATAAGCCTTGTCGCTCTGCTGTGCTTAAGGGAAGAGGGGACAACAGTAATCAGGAAGGTATAAAATGAGACTCATGTAGGACCCAGGAACGGAGACATCAGAAACTCCAATATACGCGCTGCGGTTAGAGGAGGTGGCGTCAATAAAGAGCACAGAACTGATATGACCATGGAGGAGGCCTAAAGAAATACAGGGGACTGTACTGTCTTGAAACCCAGGAAAAGGGTGGATTGTGATCAGGTGTGCAGGATTATAGGCCAAATGCTCTGGAAAGACGTGCACGGCATTAATCGGTCTGACCTGGTGCCCTAACCAAGATCAAGCTGAAGACAGTGTGGAAGAAGGAAGCTAGAAAGGTGACGTTTGAAGCAAAGTGGAAGCTGGGTAAGTAGTCACGGTTTCAATAGTGTTATGTTATACTTGAGAAAAGGAATTTGCCTTTGGTTTTGCAAGCAGCCTGTGGAGGAAATTGGCTGAGATCTTACCACAAGAATTCTTTGGGCAATAATACCAGTAATAACATGGAAACTTAACCTCTTTCATATTAAGACTGGGTTCTTTTTGCCAAACACCGATGTTTAAAGATTTGACTGTGAACTCAAAGTAACAATTTTACGTTATAATTTCTTGTATGTGTACATATGTGCATACAAAATTATTAAGAAACTAAATGTAATCTTATCATATGTGGTGATTCTTGGTACTCTTTATTCTATTCTTCCTCATGGTATACTAATTCTGATTTACATTTTTTATAATAAATAATAATTTATTTATACATCATTTTGTGCTTTTTTCCATCTCAGTTATAACCCCCATGGGTTGCCCATCACCAGATCACCTGTGTGCCATCACCGTAGCCCAGTGTATTTCCCTCCCCCCACTGTTTTTGATCCCATTCCTCACTCCACCCTCATAAAATGTCTGTGGTATATAGCTGTTCATTTTTTTTTTAGTATAATAGTTTATTTTTTACATCATTTTGTGCATTTTCCCATCTCAGTTGCAGTCCTCTTGGGCTTCCCATCACCAAATCACCCATGGGACATCACCATAGTCCAGTACATTTCCCTCCCCACAGTTTTTGATTCCATTCCACACTCCATCCACCCCCGTAAAATGTCTCTGGTATATAGCTGTTCATCATTATTATTACTTTCTCACCTGTTCCGTTATATTCCTGCTATGAGAGAAACCATCTGGTATTTTTCCTTATTTCACTAAGCATGACTTTTTCCAGCTCCATCCATGTTGCTGCAAAAGGCATGTGTTTATTATTTTTGGTTGCTGTGTAATATTCCATTGTGTATATGTACTACATATTTTTAATCCAGTCATCTACTTTTGGGCATTTAGATTGTTTCCATGTCTTTCCAATTGGAAATAAACTGATTTACATTTTAAAACACATTTAACCCAGTGATAGCACTAATTTTGTGTTTTTAAATAGTTTTAAAATAGGACATAATCCTCCTTAGAAACTGAGTCTTAAATCATGATGAGAAACACCTTTTGGGGGGCAGTAAGTTGAGAAGAGCAGTAGAGACAGCCCTTGCCCCATTGCCCATCTGTCATTTCAGCTGTACTGTTGACTCTGGGTAAATAATTTTCCTCATAATAAACCTAGAAAAGTGAGTTAATATTGTGCAAATATATTATCCTCAATTTTACTGGAATAATAATTTTTAGCTGGTAATAAAAACACCCTTCCCTAAATGGATTATTGTTATGGCTAATACATTTAAGCTTCATATTAACTATGTCTTGGCAGAATAAATGTTTGCCTGGGGGACAGGATGGGCATTGACAGGAAAAGCTCTGCTGTGTTGGACTGTTAGTCATGTGTAATGTGTTTACTGGCTTAATCTTGGGTAAACTCTTCTCTTACTCCTCTGGTACATATCTGTGCATATATATCATTGGGGATGCAAGCAAACATCTTATGACCTGTAACTCTCTGTTTCAAGGACTAATTATTCACCTGATAAAAGAATGATGACAAAACTTATGAGAAGTATTTTCTAGGTGCAAATAATAGTTGCTGCAATAGGAATGTTGACTGGACACCTGTTGATTTTCACATCCAGTACCCAATGCTTGTCCAGTAAGAAAAATAACAGAAACTAGAGATACTGTACATAATATATTTAACCTGACAGCTTTGACTTAACTCTTCAATGTCATTTTTTATGGAATTTTATGACTTTTCTTAAATTATTTCTTATTTTTCCTCA